CGTAGAGTGGTGGTGGTGGGTTGGATGGTTTGTTTGGTGGTGGTGGTGGTGTGGTGTGGTGGTGGTGGTGGGGTGTGTGTGTGTGTGTGGGGGTTCTGGTGGTGGTGGTGGGTGGTGGTGGTTGGTGTGGCTGCTGGTGGTGGTGGTGAGTGGTGTGGTCTGGGGTGGTGGTGGTGGTGTGGTGGGGTGTGGTGTGGTGGTGGTGTGGTGGTGGGGGTGGTGGTGGTGATGGTGGTGGTGGTGTGGTGTGGGGTGTGGTGTGTGGTGGTATGGTGTGATGAAGGTGTTGTTGGTGATTGGTGGTGGTGTGTGAATGGTGGTGGTGGTAGGGTGTATGGTGTGGTGGTGGTGGTGGTGGTTGGTGGTTGGTGGTGGGTGGTGGGTGGTGGTGTGTGGTGTTGGTGGTGGTGGTGGTGGTGGTGTGGTGGTGGTGGTGGTGGTGGTGGTGGTGTGGTGGTGGTGGGTGGTGGTGGTGGTGGTGGTGGTGGTGGGGTGGTGGTGGTGGTGTTGGTGGGGTTGGGGGTGGTGGGTGGGTGGTGGTGGTGGTGGTGATGGTGGTGGGTGGGGGGGTGGTGGTGGTGTGGTGGTGGTGGTGTGGTGGTGGTGTTGGGGGTTTGGTGTGGTGTGGTGGTGGTTTTGGTGGTGTGGTGTGTGGTGGTGTTGGTGGGTGGAGGTGGTGTGGGTGGTGGTGGGGTGTTGTGGTGTGGTGGTGTGGTGGTGGTGGTGGTGGTGGTGGTGTTGTGGAGTGATGGTGGTGGTGATGGTGGTGTTGGTGATGGTGGTGGTGTGGTGGTGGTGGTTGTGGTGGAGTTTGTGGCGATGGTGGTGGTGGTGGTGGTGATGGTGGTGGTGGTGGTATTGTAGTATGGTGGTTGGTGGTGGTGGTTGGTGGTGGTGGTGTGTGGTGGTGTGGTGGTGGTGGTGATGGTTGGTGGTGGTGGCGGCGGCGGCGGCAGGTGGTGGTGGTGGTGGTGGTGGTGGTGGTGGTGGTGGTGGTGGTGGTGGTGGTGATGGTGGTGGTGGTGATGTGTTGGTGGTTGAGGTGGCGAGTGGTGGTGTGGTGGTATTAGATGATGGCGGTTGTGGTTGGTGGTGGTGTGTGGCGGTGGTGGTGGTGATGGTGGTGGTGGTGGTGGTGATGGTGGTGGTGGTGGTGGTTGATGTGGATGAGGTGGTGGTGGTGGTGGTTGATGTGTGGTGGTGGTTGATGTGGTGATGGTAGTGGTGGTGATGTGTGGTGGTGGTGGTGGTGATGGTGGGGGTGTGGGGTGGTTGGTGATGGTTGGTGGTGGTTGGTGGTGGTGGTGAGTATGGTGGTGGTGTGGTAGTGATGGTTGGTGTAGTGATGTGGTGGTGTGTGATGTTGGTGATGGTGTGGTGTGTGGTTGGTTGTGGTGGAGTTTTGTGGCGATGGTGGTGGGTGATGGTGTGGTGGTGGTTGTGATTGTAGTATTGGTTTGGTGTGTGGATGGTGGTGTGGTGGCGGCGGCGGTGGTGTGTGGTGGTTGTGGTGGTGGTTGTGATGGTAGTGTGGTGGTGGTGGTGATGGTAGTGTGGTGGTGGTTGGTGATGGTGGAGGTGATGGTGGTTGTGGTGGTGGCCGTTGTGGTGGTGATGGTGGTCGTTGCTGTTGGTGGTGGTAGTGGTCAGGGTGGTGGTCGTTGTGGTGGTAGTGACGCTGTAACGACTGTTACGTGGTGTGACGACTGTTATGTGGTGTGACGACTGTTGTGATGGTGCGGATGTTGCTATGATATGGCTGTTGTTGTGGTGGTGTGGCTGTTGTTGAGGTGTGATGACTGTTGTGGTAATGTGGCTGTTGTTGTGGTGGCGTGGTTGTTATGGTGTGATTACTGTTGTGGTGATGTGCAGTTGTTGTGGTGGGGTGGCTGTTGTTGTGGTTGCGTGGCTGTTGTTGTGGTTGCGTGGCTGTTGTTGTGGTTGCGTGGCTGTTGTTGTGGTGTGATTACTGTTGTGGTGATGTGACTGTTGTTGTGTGGTTGGCTGTTGTTGTAGTGTGATGACTGTTGTGGTGGTGTGGCTTTTTGTTATGGTGGCGTGGCTGTTGTTGTGGTGTGATTACTGTTGTGGTGATGTGGCTGTTTTTTGTGGTGGTGTGATGACTATTGTTTTGGAGCGGCTGTTGTTGTGGTGGCGTGATGACTGATGTGGTAATGTGGCTGTTGCTGTGGCGGTGTGGCTGTTGTTGTGGTGGTGTAGTTGTTGATGTGGTGGTGTAGTTGTTGCTGTGGTGGTGTAGATGTTGTTTTGGTAGTGTGGTTTGTTGAGGTGGTGTGTATTTGTTGCTGTGGTGTGTAGTTGTTGCTGTGGTGATGTAGTTGTTGCTGTGGTGGTGTAGTTGTTGCTGTGGTGGTGTAGTTGTTGCTGTGGTGGTGTAGTTGTTGCTGTGGTGGTGTAGTTGTTGCTGTGGTGGTGTAGTTGTTGCTGTGGTGTGGTTTTTGTTTGTGGTGGTGTAGTTGTTGCTGTGGTGGCGTAGTTGTTGCTGTGGTGTGGTTTTTGTTGTGGTGGTGTAGTTGTTGTTGTGGTGGTGTAGTTGTTGCTGTGGTGTGGTTTTTGTTGTGGTGGTGTAGTTTTGCTGTGGTGGCGTAGTTGTTGCTGTGGTGGTGTAGTTGTTGCTGTGGTGGTGTAGTTGTTGCTGTGGTGGTGTAGTTGTTGCTGTGGTGGTGTAGTTGTTGCTGTGGTGGTGTAGTTGTTGCTGTGGTGGTGTAGTTGTTGCTGTGGTGGTGTAGTTGTTGCTGTGGTGGTGTAGTTGTTGCTGTGGTGGTGTAGTTGTTGCTGTGGTGGTGTGACGACTATTGTGGTAGTGTGGCTGCTGTTGTGGTGATGTGGTTACTGCCATAATAGTGTAGGTGTTGCTGTGGTGGTGAGGCGTCTTCGGCGGTCGGTGTGGCGGCGGCGGGTGTGGTGGTGACGAGTGGTGGTGATGAGTGGTGTGGAGGGTGATGTGGAGGGCCTGGTCACCACAGACACCTCCCTCCACGTCGTTAGTGGATTTAGAGAGCGGGCGCGGATTGCCACACAAATCCTCCAGCGATTTATCCTAAAGTTTTCGACCATTAAATCCGCGTTTTCGCAAGCTTGTCTGCTCTTTAAGAGTCCAGAGGGATTTAATCTAATGGGATTTTTATCGGGGATGCTGAACAGGACTTAGGTAAACTTAAATGTACTCCAGAGGCTCACCTTTCTGTTTAAAGTTGATGTAATCAGTGTGTCGGCCGTGTTAAAACACTCTCCCCAGAGCATGGCCGGAATTTTGGAAACTGAAAAGTGTTTTTTGTCCATTATGACCAGCTACTCTTTTTTTTTTTTTTTTTAATATAACCTCAGTGGGTGTCTTAATATGATAGAATGATGTAGAGGTTTTCGGCCTAAGCGGCTAGTTTATTGTGCACCCACCAATGTTCATCCTGTGAACGGTACCGCAAAATCAAATGTAAACACAAAATACCTAGAAACTAGGACTAAAAGGGACTAACAGTGAATTTGGGTATTATATATATATATAATATATATATATATATATATATATTATATATATATATATATATATATTATATATATATATATATCATAATAGTTAAAGAATTAAAGTCAAGAATGCCGTATGTAATCTCTCTCTGCGGAGACATATACTTCTAATGTTACACATAAAGGCGTGAAACGTCACATTCTAGCCCCCCTCTCATATGCCACTTTCCGGGCCCCTCGTACGTCACATTCCGGGCCCCTCGTACGTCACATTCCGGACTTCCCCCCCCCCCTCCATAGTGAGGAGACACTACCAACACCGTGCATACCGTCACTTTAGAAGCCTCACACTTCACATTCCGCGCTACTCATCGCAAACCGTCACATCCTCAGCTATCGCACCCAAGGCATCGCATCACAAACCGACACATCCAACAGAGGAGTAGAACTGTCAGAGCCGCGGCTGAAACAGCATCCCACCAGCCAGCAAACTGCGGAGATGAAAGTCAACAAAATCTCGATTCCGTCCTCCTGGTCTTGTTAATGGTTGACAAATTACCATAACGCCGTATGGTTTTATCTTCAGTTTGCCGGTCGGTTGTGGATGCATTAAACAGAATTTTCATACCGTTTTCCAAAAAATAGTCTTTAAATTTCCCCTCTTCATGGATGAAGTCACTTCGGAAGTAGTGAAAGGCGTTTGAAGGCTGATCAAAAAAAGGGAAAAAGAATGAACTAGTCAACGGGAAGTAACGGAAAATCTAAAAAAAAAAAAAAAAAAAAAAAAAAATTGGCCTAGGATTCTCGGGTGTTTGATAGATATCAAGAGTGCTCAACAGCGAGGCTTCAGAGTCACTCCTGCTGGTAGGAACCTCTTCAGCAGACTCTACTCTTCGCGGGTCCTCCTGCTGCTCCTTCTGGCCGCTGGGGGAGATTTCTTTTCTTTTTGGCTGTCAGAAAGGCTCCTTGGGGAAGAGTTTTTCTCCTCCCCACCTGCTGTTAAGGAAGAGTTTATCACCGTTTGCGACTGACGGAAAGATGGTCGGAGGAGGGGGGGGGGAAGGTGTGAACTGAAACCCTGGGTGTCGCAGGGGATGGACCGACCCCCATCCCTCCATCACCGCTGCAGCAGTCGCTGCAGCCGAAGTCGTGCGACGGCTCGGCTAGCGAAGATGAAGTTTTATTGAATCAGACGTCACTTTGTTTACAAGTAAATCAGCGACTCTTTTGCGGATGCTCACGTTATCGCGCCCCCTTCCCCCCCTCACACTCTTCCCTCACCCCCACCCCTCGGGATGAAGTGTGATGATGATGATGACGAGGGTGACTGATGGTGATGACGAAAGTGAAGATGATGAAGACTGACCATAACGACGATGGTCATGATGATGATGGTGACGATGTTTGTGACGCTGGCGACACTGGTCACGACGATGACGATGGCAATAACGATAGTGACGATGGTGATGGAAGATGATGTCAACACAGCCTCCCAGTACACACACACTCACACATATTTCCGGTCTTCACTTGCGAGAGTCGAGGGAGAAAGAAAGAAAAAGAGAGATAGAGATAGAGAGGATATCACCACGCACTTGCACCTTCACCACATAACTTTCTCTTTCCCGATGTTTACGCGGAAAGGCGCGAGAAAGAGAGAGAAAGAGAGAGTTTTGCAGACATGAGGAGGCTGCAAAGATGACTCCTGAAGAAGGGCAGCAGAGGCAGCAGCAGCAGCAGCAGCAGCAGCCCACGCCAGCCCCTTCACTCTGCTCGACTGCAGAGAAAAAACTGGCGCTTCCCGACACTCACTTCACCATAACACTTATAATTTGACGCCGATCGTAAACACAAACGCACAGAGGAGGTTTCACTACAGTAAGTTCACCTTGACGGAGGATTCTTTACCTTTGGGGGCTTGCAAACGTTCGACTTGTGGATGTATGAACAAGTTGAACTTGTGGCGCGAGTTGTAGGTGACTTGCTATCACCTCCGCTACATAGAGTTGACGCTGTAAAAGTGCGTGTCCTACAACGGGAACACGAGTGAACACTATGTAGTCCAACCATTTTTCTGCTACATCACTTTCGGAGGCGGGATTAGGGCGGTGCCAGCCGCTCTGGGGGCGGAGTCGCTGCCGAACTGACAAATCACGGTGCAGGATCCTGACACCGCCGGCCAGCCGAGCCAAGGGTGAAGCGGACTCAAGAGACAACCCCCCTTAATTTTCTGTCTCTTGCTCTAAATACTATACACACTGGAAACAATTATTGAAAAGAACTGTTAATTCTAACCATGAATATTACCGCTGCGAGGCGCTGGGAACCTTAACTCATGTCCTGACAACCAAAAAATACCTGCCTCCATTTCCCCGTTACCTAGTGTGTGCACTAATTGATTGAGTCTGAGCCGGAATCGATCAAGAGAAGACGCTTGCTGATTGGTCGCCTCTGGCCTATCAGCTCGTCTCCCGCGCGCCACGCAAGAAACTATCTCCATCTGTCGACAAAAAATGGCAACACCGTTTCCATCATCACCCTAAATACCTAACCCAACCAGACAGGATTCATTTGCCTCGAGTGAGAATTGCTCTGGTGGGCAGTCTGATGACCCCACAACGTTTAGCAAACGACCTACACCCATTAAGACTGCCAGGGGCGCCCCCACCATCCCCTGGCCCTGATGTATAGGGCACCTCGGGAGTCATGAAAACCCTCCTGGTCTGCACGTCCAGTGGTTTCCTGCGTTGAAAAGAGGCATCCATTGGCAACCAGGACAGTTGGCCACCCCCATCACCGCACCATGATATGGGGGGGAACGCTGAACGTGCTCACCAAAAGCCTCATACAAAGAGTAGGGAAAACTTTTGTCACTGGTAAGGATTTACCCGGGACAATGTACAACTGGAGGACCCCCGAATGGTCCAGTCGTTGACTAGTAAAAGCTTCTGGCAGACATTGTTGTTGAAGGTACCTAGTGTCTGTAACTGAATGATTAGGCTTCTGAAAGACATCTAAGGTGGAGGTACCTAGTGTCTGCTACTGGTTCCCAAGATTGTGGTACGTGATGTCTCTTAGTAATTCTTGAAGCTTTGGATATATTCTAAGGTACCAGAACTCGGTCGCTCTATGCTGACGGGGTTCATGAAGGAGGTAGTTTTGAATTATCGAGTAGTTGTCAGTGGCTGTTGATGGACGTGATTGACAGCGCTGTCTAATGCACAAATTATCCTCGTTAATGGTGCTGTTTGTTAATGCATGTTGTTTCCGCTGACAGCCGAACCTCCAGGATATAATGTGAGAATTCTAAATTAAAATATTATTTATATAATGATTTGTCCATCCCTACCTCCCTCCCTACATCCCCACCTCCCTTTGTACATCCCTCTTTCCCTCCCTTCCTCCATCCTTACATCCCTTCCTCCCTACATCCCCACCTCCCTTTGTACATCCCTCTTTCCCTCCCTTCCTCCATCCTTACATCCCTTCCTCCCTACATCCATTCTTCCCTCTCTCCCTACATCCCTCCTTGCCTCCCTCTCTACATCTCTACTAGGGCCCCGTGGCCTGGTGGCAAAAGCTCTCGCTTCACACGGTGAGGGGTCCGGGTTCGATTCCCGGCGAGGGGTGAAAACATTAGACGTGTTTCCTGACACCGGTTGTCTATGTTCACCCATCAGTAAAATAGGTACCTGGGGGTTAGTGGACTGGTGTGGGTCGCATCCTGGGACAAAACTGATCTAAGTAGTATATCACTGATGTCAGCTAAGGTCTGTATACCTCGTACATGTACTTGTAATAAATAAAGATATTATTATATTATCCCTCTTTTCATTTCTCACTTCCATTTCTATTTTTCTCCTTGCTTCCATCTCTTCCTTCTTCCTTCCTACCCTTCTTCCCACTTCTTTCCATCTTCCTTCCATTCTTCCATGTATGAATTCCTCTTCTCATTATTCCTTTTCTCCATCCCACCCTTTATCTCCTTCATTCCATTTTCTCTCTCTCTCTCTCTCTCTCTCTCTCTCTCTCTCTCTCTCTCTCTCGTATTCTTTTAAGAAACATTGTTTTATACCAAAAAAATATTTACCCACATTATACACCCACATTATACACCCACATTATACACCCACATTATACACCCACATCATACATCACATACATATAACATACACTGACGAGTGTACTGTAATAAACCCTTGTTACAAATCGATTAAATTTCAACGTGACTGAAATTACACATAAATCACTGGCATGATGGCATTGTACAGTGCCATCATGTGTGTTGGTTGGCACTGCATTTACACGTTGCCGTGAACACACAATACACACAATTCAAGATACTGGTTGGGCTTACAAATAAATCATTGGTGTGTCTCCCACAATACACATTATGTGTGGGTTGGTATTGCATACAAATCTGTGGTATGTATACACAAACACATTTCGTTGTATACTCATGAATTACCAGCAATTATGTATACATGTATAACGTTACTATGGTTTAGAAGATCACCTTCCATGGTGAAAAACAACGTGATGTAGTGATGACCAAGGAGAAATAGTGATGACCAAGGAGAAATAGTGATGACCAAGGAGGAACAGCGTTGTAAAAGGGGATATAATAATGATGAACAAGGAAGGAATAGTGCTGAACAAGGACAAATAGTGATGAACAAGGACAAATAGTGATGAACAATGAGGAATAGAGGTTAAAAAGAGTGTGTGTGTGTGTGTGTGTGTGTAAGTAATAAGATCACAGTAAACAGGTGATATCACATTATACAAAATAATCACAGAGAAAAAAAATAGTGGAATCTCAATCTCGTTCGTGATTTCTCACATTATCAAGGAATATATTCAGACATAATTCGTTATAACAGTTTAGAAGAAACTAATACATAACAGCTCTAACCTGTGCGTTAAACTGCGTAACAAGGGAAAAATATGTATACACATTTACTGCGTATACCGTAGTATAGGTTACGACAGTCGTTGTTAGGATCGACACTGATGCGCCGGCGTATGGGCGTATGGGTCTCTCACGCCAGGTATTATACGCATCATACGCATAGTGATGAATCCCTTGGGTTACATCTACTTAAATTTTAGGAACGAGAAACTTACGCAAAATTCGGAAGTGTTATTACGCATAGATAGAAGCAGAAATACGCAGTTGCAGATACGCAGTTATATGTATGAATGATGTATTAATGATATATATGAACAATATGTATGAATGATTGAATGAATGGATTTATGAGACCTGAAAGATTCGTAAGATTAGGAATCAAGGATTTGTATAAATGGAAGAATGAATGGTCAGGTTATGAAAGAAAGGGTCGCTACCCGAGGTCCACTTCTGCAGGTACCTGCTGAAGAGGACCCCAGGTAGAGGTCCAAATACACAGGAGCGTGGAAAGACGACGGCGCAAATTACCGACATGTTGGTGAAGGAGACACAAATGCTTCGTCCACGCTGTGGGTTTTAAAAGGGTAGTAGCAATTCTATTGCTAAGCATATCTCTAGTACTGTCTACAACACGTAATTGTGAGTAGCCACCGCTGCTTCCAGCACGACCAAGGTCATCACCGGTAACAACCACTACAAAGAAAATCAAACCACGGCAGACGCAATCCTTTGCAACAGCTGTGGCAAAACATACATGGGAGAAACATCGAGGGGTCTACAAAATAAGCATCTGGGAGCACCAACATGCCAACCGAACTGAGCGCTTGAGTAAACCCTGTGTTTCGCATCTTAACTTCTACAAGGAGAGGGCCGCGGGGGGCGCTGACCCACGGAATACCCTCCAGGTAGGTAGACCATCTGATTATTTACAAGGTCCAAGAAAGAGTCTGGCTAGAGACGTAGACTCTTTGAATGAGCACTCGTCAGAGTAAACCACGGAATAGGTGGGGTTTGAAACCATGGCGAGGGAGATTCATCTGCAAAATCTTGCATTTGTGGTCACAGTGGTGGGCCATGCTAACTTCCCTATAATGTATAAATATACTTAGTTGGATGAATCTTATTGTAGCGAGCCGGCCCAGTGGTTGACGCACTGGCCTGGAATTTCACGACTCACTCGCCATGAGTTCAAACTGCACCCGTACCTTGGTTTGTTAGCAATCGTGTCATTACGATTTCGTGACTCCTCAGAGTGTTCCACCCCGTACAAGATAACACGCAGGAGTACATGGAGAGGAATCTCTTGTTCGCTTTCCTTCAGAACATCTTAGAAGGATTCTGGAATACCTTGCAACCCTTCCCGTCACGCCCCAGCAATGACCTCTACACCCCCTGACTCACACCTCAACAGCAATGACCTCCACACCCCCTGACTCACACCTCCACAGCAATGACCTCCACACCACCTGACTCACACCTCCACAGCAATGACCTCCACACCCCCTGACTCACACCTCAACAGCAATGACCTCCACACCCCCTGACTCACACCTCCACAGCAATCCTCCGCATCAACACACGCTGCATCTTCAGGATTTAATTGTTTGTGGCTTAGTAATGCTTACTGCCTAAGCGAAACGTTGTCATTAAAGGATCCCATTATTTTGCATTTGTGTCTCATTTATACGAACACACACACACACACACACACACACACACACACACACACACACACACACACACACACACACGCTCAGTGTATATACATCAAGGTGTGTGTATCTCTCATCACATAAACACTGAGAGGTGTGTATCTCTCAGTGTGTAAACACCAAGTGATTTGTGTCACAGAGCGTGTTTG